TGCGGCTCCCTGTTGCCGCTCAGCTCCACAATTGATAGGGCTTTCAGTTATGACAGTTAGAGGAAAAAGGATGCCGTGCTAGGAGGAGACTCTATGGTGGGAGAACCGGACTTCCGGTTGGCTCCAGAACTGAACGGGGGGCTTCCGTTTAGGACCTTTGTGGCTCTTTGAGTGTTTAAGGTTGCTGACCCCTGCCCTATACTGCAATCCCGACAGTTGGCTTCAATCTATTTACAAAGGGACCTAGTTTTTCCTCGCTGTGACTTTTGCACAAACTCATAAACCTGTTTGACATTTCCTACCAGACTCAAGCTTACTTATAGGGGGGTCGGCTTTTGCTCTAAATGTTATTAGGTCACAACTTATATAACCAACTGGCACAAAAAAAAAAAAAGAAATAAGCTGTAAATGTATATGTCATTCAGAACTCCTGGCAGTGGTATCGCTTAAATTTGCCACCGTTCCTCCATTTCCATTTATTCTATATTTTCTAAAAGGATCGTATTTGGGTCCAAAAAAAATAAATAAATAAAGATGCTTTAGCCACTTGTTTGACGCTTTCCTGCATTAGGGGTTCCAGATAACGTTGCAAAATTCTGACAGGTTGGGATTAGCTAACCACCAAGCCTACCCTGGAGTTAATTTTGGAGCGGAGACTCCAAATCCCTTCAAAGTCTTTTTTTTATATATAATAAAAGGGACAAGGAGTTTGATTCAGGCTCTTGAGAAGCCTCGGTCAGAACAGAAATGAACTCATTTTTTTTTTAATTCAAAGGTTTGTTGTTTTATTTGGAGAGAGAGAGAGAGAGAGTGCACATAGATATGCCAATTAGAACAATTTATCCAATAATATGGGATTTACTTTACCACAAAGTAAACATCTTACCTGGTCCATGGGACTTTTGACCATTGGTACTGAATGAGAAGTAATATTCAATACAGGTAGTCCTCGACTTACGACCACAATGCAGCCCCAAATTTATGTTGCTAAGTGAGACATTTGTTAAGGGAGTTTTGCCCCACTTTACCACCTTTCTTGCCTCGGTCATTAAGTGAATCACTGCAGTTGATAAGTTAGTAACCTGTTTGCTTGTCGGAAAGTGACAACAATGGGATCACCTGACCCCAAAACTCTGCAAATGTCATAAATATGAGTCAGTTGCCAGGTGTCTGAATTTTGGTCACCATGGGGATTCTGCGAAGGACGTAATTAATGATTAACATCTTATACTCTGAAAAATACGGGAATTAAAGGAATAACCGGAAGTTTGACATTCATGTTGAGTGTTATGCTTTATGGATGCAATAAAATCAGCTAATGAGGGAAGGGAAGCACATGTGAGATTAGATTGAGTGATTCCACGTTGAGCAGGCAGTAAAATAAAGAAGTTCTCCCTGTTCCTTAACATATTTATGGATAAAAATTCATGGATGCTTACACTGATATTAGGGAGTCACTATAAGCTGAAGATGTCGTGTTAGTCGAGTTTTGAACAATTTGCACCTTACGGGCAGTCCTCGACTTATGACCAGAAGTGAGCCCAGCATTTCCACAGCTGAGCTAAGTTAAGTTAAGTGGTTAAGTGAATGTTGTCCCGTTTTAGAACCTTTCTTGCCGCAATTGTTAAATGAATCGTTGCAGTTGTGAAGTTAGTCACATGGTTGTTAAGTGAATCTGGNCTACCGAACCAGTTAGAAGAGTTTTGACCAGTGGACCCGGAAAGCAGGCCACACCTACAGAAGAGGTTCCAAATTTTTTTGAAACCCACCACTGGAGTGTTCACACCCGCATACCTGAAGTCCTGCAAAGCCACAATAATACACACTCTGCCCTCTTTCCGCTATTGTCTTTAAGCCTTTCAGGCTTTTGCTGTTGTGTGATGCTAGAGGTAGAATGCCAAAAAGTTGTGGTTTTGGTACCAGTCACATCAGTTAGGAAAGGTCGACCTCTTTTTTTTAAAAAACAGTGTGATTCACCATCCAGATGTGTCTCTTGGCAAACATTGTCTTTTCGCGTGGAGCGTTAGCGTCTGTTAGCATCTATCTTTTTTCTATCTTCTTGAATACGTTCTGCAATCTGAAAGTTCAGAGACGGGACCATTTTTTAAAAAGCCCTGCCCACCCGCTACATGAGTCCCAAAATCTTTGGGTTATGCAAAAAGTCTCATCCAGAATAAGGGACACGGTAGCTCAGTGGCTAAGAAGCTGGGCTTGTCAATCAGAAAGGTCAGCAGTTCGGTGGTTCGAATCCCTCTGTAGCAGGCCTGACATGCCAAAACAACTAGAAACGAAGATAGTTTCCACCACCACTACCCCACCCCCCAATGCCATCACTCTCAATAGCACTGTCTCGCTACTCATTCCCCCCCCCCATCTTCTCAACTGTCTTCTCCTCTTGGTCTCTTAGGATTTATCAGTTGTGGTTTGCAACTTGTGATTCAAGATTGTAACTATGGTTTACACACCCACGGTCTCCAATGAGTTCCCCATTTTTCTACTTGCATTTTTATGTGCTTTCGAACTGCTAGGTTGGCAGAAGCTGGGACAAGGAATGGGACATCACTCGGTTATGTGGCACTAGGGATTTGAACTGCCAAATGGTCAATCTTTCTGATTGACAAGCTCAGCGTCTTAGCCACTGAGCCACCGTATCCCTACAACTAGACTTTAATCCCTGAATAATAACCAAATATGAAAATTGAAACTTTTTTAAGTAAAGAAGAATGGGTGTTGCTCTTAAAATTATTGTTTAATGTGTTTTATATTTCAGGTTTAAGGATTACAGAGAACCTCCGTGGGCAGAAAGCTCATATGAATTCTCTAAGCAGTATTGGTCTGTTCTGTCTGCCCGCCTGGCATTCGTCATTATCTTTCAGGTAAATGTTTTCACTTTCGTATTACTTTTCCCTGGAGCAGGGTCGGCAACCTGCGGCTCTGGAGCCGCATGTGGCTCTTTCATCCCTCTGCTGCAGCTCCCTATCGCCGGTCGGCTCCAAAATAGATAGGGCTTTCGGTTAGGAGAAGTGGAGGAAAAAGGATGCTACACTAGGGGGAGGCTCTCTTGTGGGGGAACTGGACTTCTGGTCGGCTTCAGAATTGAACGGTGGGCTTCTGGTTAGGAACTTTGTGGCTCTTTGAGTGTTTAAGGTTGCCAAGCCCTACCCTGGAGTAAAACATATTTACGACTTCCTGTGCAGTGAGCCTGAGCCAACAGAATAACAGAGTTGGAAGGGACCTTGGAGGTCCTCCAGTCCAACCCCTTGCTCAAGCTTGTCTTTGACTTTGCTTGTCAAAAGGTGACAACTGTCATAAAGAGGAGACAGTTACTGAGTGCATGACATTTTGATCATCTGACCATGTTTCAATGGTTGTAAGTCTGAAAAACGGCCAAAAGTCATTTTTTTATTGGTGGGGTTGTAACTTCAAACGGTCATTAAATGAACTGTTGTAACGCCTGTAATGTACAGCCCTGTCTCAGGGTACAAGAACAAGACTAGAAAAAAATAGCTTCAGGAGCTGTACACCTCATGCTCATCTTTGGATTTGTCAGTTTGCCGGTTCTTACAAATGGCAACCTTTCCGAATGTTGTCGGTTAGCTAAATAGCACTAGGACTTAGACTTATATACCACTTCACAGGGTTTTCCAGCCCTCCCTAAGCAGTTTACCGACTCAGCCTATTGCCCCCCCAACCATCTGGGTCCTCATTTTACTGACCTCAGAAGAATGGAAGGCTGAGTCAACCTTGAGCCAATAAGAATCGAACTGTTGGCAATGGGCAGAATTAGCCTGCAATAATGTATTCTAACCACTGTGTCACCAGGAAGGAGAATGAGAAAGGGAAGAAGAGAGAGGGAGGGAGGGTGGGAGGGACAGAGGAAGGAAGGAAGGAAAGAAGGAAGGAAGGAAAGAAGGAAGG